TGGGAGCGATCTCGCACGAGCATCCTTTTCGGGACGGCCTTCTTTCGCCTCACCTGCATCATGTTGCATGTCGTATCGTATGTACTATGATCAGCTCAGACACACTGACTCACGTACATGCATGTGTGTGTACATGTGTGTTGGACTGCACATAGCGCGAGGCCTTGAGCATGCATCTCACCAGCCACGTCGGTCTTCGCGGCCGAGACGGCCTTATCTGGCCATATTGCATGGTTAGATATAATATATTATACACACATTTTTTAAATAAATAATATATAGCTAGTGTGCCTATATATAGCTTATAGGGGCTACAGTAATTATATTATTATATAAATACAGCGGTATTATAAATATATGATTACAAACGAGAACATATGTAAATAGACATTATAACATAGCTAATGATCATGATCAACTAGATATATATATATACAATAATACCTATAGGATATATATATATATACATACATACACACACACATTATATTGCAATTGTTGTACTTTATATTATTATATATTATTACGTATATATATATATATATATGATTATATGACTAATTATTAATTTGATATATCGGTAACTATTTGTAGGATATTTTACACATTGTCTTATATTATCTAGCTATACATGTATACGAAGATGCACACATATGACTGTTCACTCCTCGATTGCTTTACTTGTTAAACGGTGAAAGAGAGCACGGCACAGACTTGTTGATCACTATATACCAATTATGTACTTATGAACTAGCTACAAGACATAATGGGACTCGATTCAATAGAGATGCTGAAGCAAGTGGGTCGGAGCTTGCCGGCTTCTTCGACAGACACGGAGGTGGCCTGGAGCCTGTTGGCTTCCTCGTCGGATACGGAGCTGGCCGCTCCGGCTTGCTGAGCGCTGGCATGGCTTAGGCTTCGAAAAAACGTACTAGCAAGAGCGCCCTTGCTTGAAACTACGCAAAATGCTTCAGGAGGAAGGTCTTACAGGCAGCGCCACATGGGCCACATCGCTGGTCACGCTTATTCACGCTAAATCACGCTGAGACCCTCCTGAGAAGGGTTTTACAACGCCTGATCACGCTTAGTCACGCACTAATCACGCACGCACTCCTGAGCGAAAGGCCTCTCTGAGAGATGCTTTAGTCACGCTGCACCTGATACCTTCGCGGTGGAGTCCTTTCACATGTGCCTTTGCGTGTGTGCAGAGAACTGTGAAACAAAATCCAGCTGGAATGGCCAGCTCACAATCACGGCCGCTTGGCTACAATCCTGGGTAATAGCAACTCCTATACTGGCCGACAAGTACATGACCTGCAATGCTATCATGCTAGTAAATTGAAGTAGTAGAGCTGCATGACCAACCCGTATATAGCAAGATCTCAGCCAGGATCCCAGCACAGGGCCAATCGTAGTTTCGAACACAGTTTGGTGGGGCAGATCGTTCCGTGGTCATTGCCGGAGCTAGAATTCCAAGCAGCAGTGTGGTTTCGGGTTTATTATATTATATTAGATTAGAACATTGTACAATTATATAATCTTACAACACCTACAAACCGAATACCCAGCTATCAGGCCTGATCTAATAGTCGTTGGGGACTTATAATAAAGTAACACTAGCTAGGTCGGGCAAGGTTTGGCAAGGCTTGGGGCCTACATCTGATAGGAGCACCACACTGCACCACAGGAGCTTCCGAATTGCATTTTAATTATCCGATCACTGATCATGATGGGATCACATAATTGGCGTCAGGTCCCAGGGCATTCCAGGGTCGGGCACCCAAACACCACTAGTGGCTGCACTCACTAGATAGTCTTTCAATGGCTGGAGGTTCGCTTCCGACCAATCCAATCCATCCGGAAGCGCAGGAACCTGCATTATCACGTACACCCAGTAAGCCAACGTTAACACCAAAGCCCTCTACAACTAGAACGAGCCACCTTGCAGTTGCCGGACCGTAGCTCCCGCAACAGGCCGTGAAGATCGAGACCATGACCGATATCGCTGTCGGCTGCAGATCCACACGTGACCTTGGATGATGCGGGGCCGGGCTGCAATCGATCCTTAAACCCCGGATCCCTAAACCTTAGTACTAATAATATATACCCTTATAAAGCCACAAACCCTAAAAGTGTGCTTCGAATTCGTGTAGGGGGGGCATATTAGATCCGTCGCACATGCCTGGAGTTCCTCATGATCAACTATTATGATTGATCAACATTGTACACGCACTCAGCCTGAACGATTGGCTATAATTGTGTATAATTTATAATAATATAGTGTGTGGGGATTCAAGATCTGCCTGGGGCGGTGTTGCTGGTCGCGATATCATGATATCGACTTCAGGATACGAGGCTTATAGGAATCTATGGGGCTTATAATTAATTATAACCTATTCGCAATTACGGGTTTAAATCCGGAGACTTGCGTGTGCGAAGAGGACACATTACAGTCGCAAGAATTCAGACAATCTAGTCCGAGGTGTCTTCATCAAAAGCCTAGAACCCTAAACCCTAAACCCTAAACCCTAAACTAGAACCCAACCCAGGCCAACTGACCTATACCTTTTAGTCCTAATCCCCATAAGATGCGGGCCTCGGCACCGAATGTAGCAAAGCACGGAATCGTGCCAGGTGTCACGCTCATGATGCACGGTTTAGGGCCAAGGGATCGCAGTGAGGGTTTTGGGCATTACTGGGTTCCCGGGTCTGGCTTTATGCGGGATTTGGGGCGCAAGGGATCCTGTAAGTTTGGGTGTTGGCCGTTGTTGGGCTCAAGGTTATTATATAGAAAAGGCCTATATAAAGTTTCAACCTGACAGGCAAACTTAAAATTAAATCGATCCCTACGTATACCTGGATCCCAGGAGATATCCTTCGAAGTACTGTCCGGAAACTGCCGTGCGTGATATGGTGCACTACACGCATCTTGGATCTACCGGATGGATACATCTACGGGCGCCACTGCTGCTTTTATTTGCTAGTCATCGTCCTGTTGTGTAGCAAGACGTCTCGACATGTATGTGAGGGCTTATAAATATTATAGGGTTTAGGGTCTAATGGGTTCGGATCTAGAGTATGGCGTACTCGGACGCTTTAGGGAGTGAGTCAATTATTCGCACGAAAGCATGCTACTTACTAGGATCGACACCATCTATACTACCGACTTCAGCTCCACAAAAGATCTGACTGTCATTATCGAAATGTGTCTGACTAATAACGACGATTGAACCTCACAAGCACTAGCACGATTGCCCAGATGTACGGAGTTGCATGACCTATATAGTTTCGCAGGAGTTGACTACAGCTACATCGGTTCTCCGATCGTGAATATCCACAAATAAATTCGAATGCAGCTCTTAATCGCTAGATATATTCTTCTATTTCGGACAATGATGCATGCCGTCGCATGCTGCATCATGACCATGATCATGCATCGTCGCTACCCCAGATTACGTCCGCACCGCATCACAATCGCAGACCCGATGTTTCAGCAGCCGCGCGGGCGGATCGGTCACGCCGTTGCAGTCGGCATCTGCCGGCAGGTACTCGTACCAGTCGTAGTAGTATTGAAGAAGAAGAACCAGTAGTAGTAGTAGTAGTCGTCGTAGTCGTCGTAGCAGTAGTCGTACTAGCAGCAGCAGTAGCAGCACTCGTCGTAATCGTCGTCGTGGCAGTAGTATATTCGTCGTGGCAATAGTATATATGTACGTGGTCCTAGTAGAAGTATATATATATATATATGTGTAGTCGTAGACATAATGTACGTAGTAGTAGTAGTAGTAGTAGTAGTATATAGTAGTAGAAGTAGTAGTAGTAGTAGTAGTAGTAGTAATAGTAGTAGTAGTAGTAGTAGTAGTAGTAGTAGTGTAGTCGTATAGTAGTGGTGGTAGTAGTTAGTAGTAGTAGTAGTAGTAGTAGTAGTAGTAGCAGTAGCAGTAGCAGTAGCAGTAGTAGTAGTAGTAGTAGTGGTGGTAGTAGTAGTGGTAGTATCAGTAGTACTAGTATCAGTAGTACTAGTACTGATACTAGTACTACTGATACTACCACTACTACTACCACTACCACTACCACTACTACTACTACTACTGCTACTGCTACTGCTACTGCTACCGCTACTACTACTTCTACTACTACAACCAGCACTACCACTACTACTCCTACTGCTACTTCTACTACTTCTACTACTACTACTACTACTACTGCTACTACTACTACTACTACTTCTACTACTACTACTTCTACTACTACTACTACTACTGCTGCTACTGCTTCTGCTTCTGCTTCTGCTTCTGCTACTGCTAGTGCTAGTGCTAGTGCTAGTGCTAGTGCTAGTGCTAGTGCTAGTGCTAGTGCTAGTGCTAGTGCTAGTGCTAGTGCTAGTGCTAGTGCTAGTGCTACTTCTACTATTGCTCCTGCGACGGCGATTATGATTACTGCTTGCTTCCTCGCTTCGTCACGTACTTTCTTACCTGCTTGCTTGCTTGCCTGCCTGCCTGCCTCCTTGCTTGCTTCCTTGCCTGCTTGCTTGCCTGTCTGCGTCCTTGCTTGATTGCCTAATCACTTGAGCGATCACTTTCGCAACTACGTCCGTATTGCTCGCTTGAATACTTTATGCCCGCTTGCCCACTTTTTAACTTGGCTTCCTAGTTGGGCAGGTACGTATTTGCTTGCCTGCCTGTCCACCTACTTGCTTGGCAGGCGAGGATTCGGAGGACGCTTGCTTGAACTTCCTTACATACTCAGCTTCAGAAATGGCTTACATTAGTTTGCCGAAGTACCTTGCCTACTTACCTAATTTCTTCTTTAATTGCTTACCTGCATGCTTACTTACTTGCTTTTGTACGTATATGCTAAGTCACTCAATCATTCACGTATTGATCGTTCTACTTTTAACGGTTCGTTTCTTCATCTATGTTTTCAGCACACCGGGGAACGGATTGAACGTTTCGTCAAAACTCGTTCTCCTCTCCGGCTCACGGAACTGAAGTCTTCAAGTCCTGCTCCACCATCCCAGTGATAGCCACGCGCTTTGCCTTGAGGTTCTTTGGATAGTGGCCTCGACTGCCCATGGTGGCACTAGCCTTCTGGGCGAAGGTTCTTCAGCTGGACAAAGGCTGGTAATCTTCGATGCAGATGCAGCAACAGGAAATCTGGTGGGCATCTGGAGCAGCAGGAGATTTCGGGGCAGAGGCACGGGGCATTGCGCAGTACTGCTTTCCATCAAGGGGTCCTTGCTTGAAGGCTGTAGTGGACCCTGGGAGGCTCTCATGGAACTTCGGCAAAGGCAGGGGTTTCAGCCTGTTCCAGGGTCTCAAACAGAGACGGCAGGCTACGGTGGGTCTCGGAGGTCGAGCTCCCTGGCTTGCATGATTTTCATATGTTGACAGCCGTACGCGAAGTAAGGGCCGAACTGATCCAAGAACTGCAGATGTCCAGCACGCTATACTCCCCCTGTGGAGCCTTCGCGTGGCTAGACCCTCCGGCTTTCTGAATTCTGAAATTTCTCAACTCCAAGCCAGTTCCAGGTACCTGTGTAGGCTCAGGGAGGCTTCAGGGTTTCCTGCACATGTGCAGCCTACCAAATCCTCGGCATCTCCAAGTCTTCGAAACCCCGAAGCGATGTTCGTGCGGAAACCCGCTTGAGCCCTCAAACTCTTGTGCTTACATACCGCATTAGCACATGTATACCTAAATAAAGGTATAAGTACAACTACCTGCCTGCCCACCTACCTACCGAGCTATCTGTCTATCTCTATCTGTCTATCTAGCGACGTAACTATCTCTCCATCTCTGCATGTATCTACCCATCTATCTATCTAGCTAGCTAGCTGGCTAGCTGGCTATCTCGCTACATGTGTATGTATGTCTCTGCGTATTTATCTCCCTATCTCCGCATCGATTTCTCGCCCATCTTCGATCCATCTATTCATTTATCTAACTAGCGAGCTCTGTCTGCTTGGCTATTTAACATCCAGCTACCTATCTTGCTTTATGTCACATATTCTCTTTTTTGTCTGAGTGCATCTGTGCACATCTTCTACACGTGCCGATGACGACTTGCAAGAGCCGCAAACCACCTGAACGCTGCCACTGCCATCGGCAATGGTCTAGCAGGACAAGTGCAGGAGTAGCAGCAGCTCTGGCAGTAGCAACAGTGGGAGCATAAGTCGCAGAATACACCCGATGAGGGAACGAACCACCTACCAACAGTCTGAACACGGACTTCACTGACTCATTAATCATTAACTTGACGGACGAGACGAGACACTGACAGGCCAGACCGATCAAACTTACCGAACGACCTACCAACCGACGGACGCACCGACCGAGCAGCAGGTGGGCCGCCGGAATGAAAACAGTCCAAGACTGTAAAGGCAGCGTGCTTGACATTAAGACTGATCGACGGCATCATGCGGAGTTGGAGGTTCGTGGTCTAGGGGAACGTTACATGGGCCCTTTCTCCAGGGTGGGTTCGAGAGCAAACAGCATTACCCATGCACTGTCTTCTTTCGCTTTCTTGATGCCGTACTTCAGCTGGCATTGAGGTTGCTGTGTCTGCTGTTTGCACGTCTGCGTTCTGACCCAATGCTCTTGCGATTCTGACTGCCCTGTCTTACTCGAGAGAAACTGCGTAAGCCCGCTATCCAGGATCGAAGCAATGCGGGAGACACCTGAAGAGTAATTAAGAGACTCTCAACATTTCATTTACCTTAGGAAGATCTCGGCAGTCTTGAGACCTTTTCAACCGTGCATGGCAAGCTCCGAAGAAAGAAGCGGCTCCTGGGCGAACTGCACATCGTAGAAGTTTCGAATCGCATCAATGGCGTCTTCGTCGATGTGGGTGACGAAGCGAGGCCTTTCTTTGAAGCTGAGAGGGCTAAGCCCACCACTCTAGGCCACAACCGGATCCGAAAGGCATAACATTCGAAAAGCCCAGCCCCAGCTCGTAACCCTACGACCTGACGGGGCATCGGGTTAAGGCAGTGAAGTCCAGAGTGGGTCTTCTGGTGAGAATGATAAGGCGAGATCAGCCGTGTCAGAAGAGCAGCATTAAACGTGTGTGACTGCCTGAGCATGGAACATGTATAGATGCAAGGTAAGAGCAAGGCTGAGCGTAGAAGCCGCTGTCGTCGGACTCATCCTGCCTCCGGAAGTCATCTTCCTTGTAAGGCCTGGCCACGAAGACATGCCATGCATTGATGACTAAAGTCTAGTCCGCTGCAGCAGAAGGAGAAGCGGCTGAACTTCGTCGTAGGAGTGGGTCGTGACTGAGCGCATCTCGTGGTGATGCGGGTACCGGGTAGTGGCGGCGGTGGTGGTGGCGGTGGCAGCAGCAACAGAAGTGGCAGCATTAGCCAGGAGTGGAGGCAGCAGTAGCTCAGTAGCGGCACTGGTGTCGCAGTGGTCGCCGTAGCGGCGATGGCAGTAGGGGCAGTAGTTACGCTATTCATAATTGCTTCCTCGATCAAGATCAAAGCTACTGTACTTGCCATCCTCTTCCGCAGAATAGATAGCTTGCGGCACAAAACCTCTCAAAGACAAACGACCCATCCAACACCTTAAACCTGAACTCCTGCATCCAACCCTCCTCCCGAACAGGTAAGCTGGACAAAATTTCGAGGGTGTTCTCCCGAGCGCAAAATCAAGGACATCCGACCAAAGCACCTGATCCCAAACCCCAGAAACCCAAGCCACCCATCATCCCATGATTGCCTGAACTCGAAACCTTGCTGAGTTTCGCACCATCCCTGTGGCCACTTCCAGTTGGGTTCTTTCAAAGCCTCACCTTTGCAGGTCCCATCAGGATTTTGGACGGAAAGAATTGTGGCTTGTGGCTTGCATTGCGGACTTCCTTGCGGCCGAAGAGACTTGTGTTTTCTTTGTTTGACTGACTTCCACGAAACCCCAACCAGCTGGTCTCATCGAGCCCAACAAGGCTCCAGGTCTATCGAAACGGTCGAAACGGCTGCCGTGCAATCAATGAATCAAGCTGTAGATTTCTGCTAGCTGCAATGGTCCTGACAGTGCCAGCACCAAACCCGAAGGGCCGAACCTTGCACTGGACAGGAGGAGGAATGGCATAGACCATTGTTGCCAAAAGCAGGAGCTGTCCCAGGTTTGTTTTGTGCAACCTGCAGATTTCAGAGACACAGCCTCAGCAACCACACAAACCTATCATAGCCCGGATCGCATCCCATAGCCATAAGGCTGAACCCCATGCTGCAAGAAGGGCATCTGACTGAGCGAAGCCCTGCTAAGACAACCAAGGCTTATCAGATCATTTGCGTGGATGGGAAGTTTGAGCCTTGATCGGGTCGTAGGGGTACGCCTTCTACGAATTAACCCGAGCCAGTGAAGCATAGCTTGGCACCACAGAATAGGGTTACGGTTTAGCGAGCATTGGCACATCTGGGGCTGGTCTATATTGCGGGAGTTCCATTGGCACTCATCCAAATGCGGGGTCGTCGCTTTGAGGGTACGGGTGGGGCCTTGGAATTTGCCGCGCTCGACATATTGAGGCCGGCACTCACGGGGCTGTTGGCTACGGCGAAGGGAACCTGCAAAGCATCGCCGCAGACCCAAGCATTGAGGCTTCGGTTCCGAGAGGTTTAATGAAGGCATCAGGGATTCGAAGCTGAAGGTCCCTTGAAGGGTGACGAGGACGGCAAGAGTAAGCACGACAAACTGCATGCAGACATGGGGCTGCTGTCTTGATTTGAAGAACTAGTTTTCCCACGTGCTGGTGTGGTAGAATATGACTCAATTGTCATCTGTCAGCATGAACCTAGACGTGTACCATCACCTCCCAACAGCACTGAACCACCGCCTAGGTTTAAGCTTTAGCTCACTCAGTGGGTGCCTTCGCCTCCCACATGCCAGGGCCTTCCCGTCCATGAAAGCAAACACTGAAGTCATTGCAGGGGGTAAATAACCACAGATACCACTCCTTTTGTGAAGGAGTCTTCCCCGACGGCGACCAGTCTGTAGCTGCACATGGTCAGTGGACATCTTGCTACAAGAGAGATGCCTGACCCGCACCTGCCACGACTTTTAGAAATCCATCAGCTTTATAGATCCCAGCACAGAATCCTGAAGCCCTCAAACTGTCGGAACCTTCACAGTCTCGCCCTGCCAACCGACCATATCCATGCCCTTGACGACCTGCCAGCAACATAACGGTTTCCGGCTTCAAAGTTCGGGGACCTTTCCCTTCCGCTTCGAAGGCTTTTGGATTCAGAACGACATGGGAACCCCGAAATCCGAAGCCTCATCATATCTCACCATAGCACCACGTGATATCGATTTTTGCTCACCTAGTCTCGAACCTCAGCCTGGTTGCTCTAGAACGACGTTTTCAAACTCTGCTCCAGGACAATTACAAAGACACAAGCAAACAGCGAAAGAGGAGCTCTTCATTCTGAAGGACGCTTCAATCCTAGGGTTAAGATGGGATAAGTAACGGCTTGCCCGTGAGCAGATCGTTGATTCGGGGCCTTGGACATTCCGAACCGATACCGAACAGGCGAGGTGAACATCATTGCCCTCTTTCAAAGTTGCGGTTTTGCGTTTTCATATTGCTTGGCACAAAACGCGCGAAGCCCTGAAACCCCAACACGACGCCCGACTCCACCCTAGGCCTCGTGGAAGCCCAGCAACTCCTCAGAGGAGCCGTTTTGCAGTGTTTCAATGCATCGGAAATGCAAGGTGCAGGGTCCAGTGCTCTACCAGACTCTACCAGTAGGGCCTGGGGTTTGTCTTTGGGTTTCGGCGCTTAGGCACTTTGGGAGGTAGTGCCAAGAAGGGTGTTGGGAGTTCCAGGTGTTGGGCTTTCCGGCAGTCAGGTCTCGAGGCCCAAAGCATAATAATCAATATACGTGAACTACGTGGAACTAAAGCTCACTCACTACCCTCCAAAGCTTCAGAAGACAAAGGACGCCCCCCACCAGAAGTATCTGAGTTCCTACATTTTCGGGAGAGCATGCACCCAAGACCTCGCCAAGACCCTGCATCTCCAAAGCCCTGATCACACCATGAAACGGCAGCCCACCAAGCCCGGAAATTCAAGGCTTGGATCGATACAGTGATTTCGAGCGGAAATCTAAAGTCTTGCACTGTCATACACGGCTGCCAAGAAGCCAGGTCGAACTTGAGCTCCTGCAAAGGGGTGGTCGGGTCTTAGAGTCTAAGGCGTTTGGGGCTCTGGCATGGCATGGCCAAGACTTGCTCCACGGATGCTGCATGGCTGTAGGCCCATCTTTGGTCGCAGGAGGCTTTGTCTGTGCGTTTCGAGTATCAGCCTCATGCTCAGCCCCAAACCCAACCCCAGAACCCTTTAGCTTCACGTTGGCAATCGGCAAGACGGCATATGGTTAATTTGCCCGAGATCTTAGCTGCCCTGGTTGAACCCCGCTTTTGCTAGAAATATCGGGCCAGCTGCCCAAGCGAGACGACACCACCTCGGTTGACGGGCCTCCGCCAGTAAATAAATAGGCCGGCAGATACATGCCCCGAGCCCGAAGGCTGCTCAAAAACAATTGGGACAAAGGGCCGTCTTAATTGAGTTTTAACAGGCCTCGACCACAGCTGTAGCCTGCCACGACAAGCTACTCGTGTGAGAGTATGCTGGCGAAACGGGGGTGGCGGCTACCCACAAGTCGGATGTGGGCATGCTTGCGACTTCACAGGAAACTGAAATCTTAAAATGAACTTAAAGCCAAGAACATGACACGGGGGCAATCGCTGCCGCCGATACGTACTGCATCTACTGCAATGCAAAGCCACCAGCAGGCTGAAGGGCAGGATGCCGAAAAGCCCACTCATGAAACAATGCAACAACACAATGGCATCGGCCCCAAAGAACTGAATGCACACCCTGATACTCTTTCTCCCAGCCCCAAACTGAGGACTTGGAGCCGCAGCCCTATACATTCGCGTAGAAGAGCAGCCAAGGACAAAGACCCGACTCAACGACCCGACGTTCTATTATAAGGGCCTATGCAAGGGCTTTCAAAGCCTCGCCTTGCCCGCCAAGGGGTGGTTCAGGTCGAGCATGGCCGAGCCGTCCTCCAGGACCTCAGAACGAACTTAGCCCCAAAGGCCAGCCGAGGAGCGCTTTCTTGGTGTGTCTTTTGTCCAAAGGTCAGCTTTGCGTTTGGGGGTTTGTGGCGGTTTGTGGTTTGCGGAGGACCTCTGAATCCGAGGCCGGGTCGAAGTCTGCGTGAGGGGTGGGCGAAGTTGCATGCTTAGCTGTTGCTCGAAAGGGTGTGTGTGTGTGTACCTTGCGCTGCCACCGACCCAAAGCGGTTTGCTTGCTGTTCCAATTAGATTTTAGATCTCTGAGATTCGATGCAGGCTGGGCTTTGGAGACAGAAGAGGAACCCGTAATCCAAAATCCAAAAACCTCGAAAGGCAGCCTACAGGTCATGAGCCCTACATCCTGGCAGATGTTTTTCGTCCGCGTCGACTGGCTAAAGCGGAATCCTTCAAAAACTCCGGCCTTCTCTCCACGATTCATAGCACACGGCAAAAAATGTCTCTTCGGGTTATGAGACCTCCAAATTCCGGGTCAAAAGCTTTCGTTTAAGAGACAATATGCTTCATGCCCTAATCTGAAGGATTGTAGGCTATGTTTGGCCAGAATTTTCATTGAGAGCAGCCCATGCGGGACATCTTTTGCACGCTGCTCTCAAGAAACTCTAAGCCTCAAAGGCCGGAACACCGCAAACCCTAAAGTCCTAAACTGCTTCGGTTATCGCAATCGACAATTTTCCTCTACCGGACTCCCCAAGCGATTCTAATAGACTCTATATAGGACTCCTCAAGATTGAGATTGGGCTTATGCCTTGGTGAAGCGAAGTCGCAGGCCAAGGGTTTAGGATGTCGGGCCTTCATGTTCTGGGCTTGTGTGACACTTTTCTTACGAGTAAATGGCCAGTTTGGGTGCCATGGAACTGGATGGATGCCCGGAACCGCAAGCGAACCCTCGAGACATTACCCCCCCCCCCCCCAAGCTGCAAACCAGAGCGCCAACACCGCTGAAACCCAAGTGTTTCCAAGCGCCACACCTGCTTAACCTTCCTCAGCTGCACCGCAGTGAGAAGCATTCGTGGGAGCTTCTTCAGCTCAGGGATGGGTTTATGTCGAGGTGTTACTTCGCTGAGGAACTACAGCCTAGCCCCACTTTCATGCTGAACCTCCCACGGTTCAGAATTTTGGATGCAGGAAGAGTGGGTCGGCATGTGGCTGCAAGGACCCATGCCTGGTTGTTGGGGCTCAGTTCACGGGCCCGGGTTGAGAATGCCACCGACGAAGCCACGGGTCATGGTCAGGGCAAGCGACGGCCACAGCAACAACAAGGTAAAGGCAGGAACAACAGTAACCTTGCTAATGTTAGGAGAGAACCCGCGCACTGACGAAGGTTTCCGAATACCCTACTGACCCCAGGAACCTGGGGCAAACCACTCCTAAACCCCGAGCCCGACTCGAACACCAAAGAACCTATGAAAACAGCTCAAATTAATGAAATGCAGACGACGCCTACAAATCCTACACTCCAAGCCCTTAACCCTGACCCCTTGCAAGGCTTCGCAGCTCGCCTGGAGTCGGCCCTCACAGCAACTGCAGCTTGACCGCTGGCTGAGCTCCAACCCCGAAATCCCAAACTCGATGCCCTGAATCGTGAACTCCGTGAAGCCCAAACCCAACCGACCCTCTGCCGCTCACTCCGTGCTCGACATGCGGCGCAGGCATCTTCTGCTGGCCGCCGCCCAGCATAACTTGCATTCCCTCCTGCGGTAGGTTTGAAGTCTTCTTAGCTCTGCTTATAGTTTAGGGAACCATGTACAAGTCTGTGAAGTCTTCTGGTTCAGGGTCTCGTTGTCTTCATATGGTACCAATGGCAATTGCGTCAATCCAGTCATCGTTGCTTGACTTGCTGGTCTATCTCTTGCCAACAAAGCCTTTACTCGGGTCTTCAACCCCACAACCAAAAAGGACGATCCAGAACCCTACATCATAGCGGTCCAATGGGGAGCCAACCTTCGAAAAACCTGAACTCCAGTCTCAACCCAGAACGAACTCCTGAAAACGATGAGAAACTCGTAATTAAGACAACACCAACCAACAGGAGAGATGATCGCCACTTCCGACCAGAAGTGATGAAGAGAAGCTTAGCGCATCTTAACGCCGGTAAGCCGCTAGATCCGTATTGCGCTCCTGCAGTCCTTTCGGGACCTGTGCTGCGGGGATGTTCATGATCATGGCCTCGTTGGCTGTAAGGTTAGGACAGGTTAGGGGGTTTAGATGCGAGCGGGACGACGCGGTCGCGCCGGTGGTGCGGGCTTTGGAGATCAGAATTTACGGACTGGTTTGGGGTCACTATCAGGCATTGAGGGCTGTCGAATCAGGACCTGGAGCTGTCAAGCTTACATAAGCACCAGGTAGACTTCTCGCAGAAATCTACGCAGAGAGGTCCGTCGAAGGGGATAACATGGGGGAACTGGTTGCTTGGAGGTCCAGACCATTTGATTTGTGGAACCAATCCTCCGGGTCGTCGAACACTTCGCATACTTCACATGTCATAGTTCAATAACTACCCTACCCTACGTTCCCCGGCCCCCTAGCCCCAGCCACATCCCCAAAATTCCCGACACGACGCTTCCGAATTCGCTGAAGACATACCTCCCAAGACCTGGCACTGTGGCCACACACATCGGAGCGTTGCCCATAAGCATCCTGAGAAACTGCGGGCGAGTCACTCCGCTGTTGAGGGGGAAACAATTGGAATGCGGCTTCGTGCTCTGGTATCTGGTACAACTGCGGGGGACAACGATGACGACCATGGCAACAAGAAGTATGGCTATATCATCCTCAAACACTGCAGTATGTTGGCGTCCAGAACTCACATCCCTCGAAATACTGGGACAAAGCGGATATTACTTTACCCATACTGAGCTGAGTGAGTATCTCAGCCCCACCACCAAAATTTGCCGCTATAATGAACATGAGAAAGCTTCTAGAAGCGAAAGCAGCATCATACTCCTGTACTTGGCGACCATGACTCCGCCAAGCCTTTGGGGCTGTAGGTCCTAGCTGTGGAATATAGCATATGGTGCTCCCTGCCAAACTGCCTGCAAACAAGAAAGCGGAAAATGTCAGTGACAGTGTGTCCGCATAGCCCACCCAGATCCAGACAGCCTCAAACCGAAACCCTACAGAGCCCCAAAGCAAACCCCTAAAGCACACATTCTCTGAGGCTACGCAGAACTCCAAGGCTTCCCAGTTCTGCGGGCCTCCGGCGAAATGGTAACGGTCTTTTTCTCGCCCACCTCGTCCGATTGTTTCGGGATGCGCTTGAGGGCTTGAAGGTTTTGGGGGGTCAAAGCTGGAGGGTCGTTGTCTTCCGAAACTTTGAAACGAAGCCGCCCATCTGGAGTTGCGGGGCTGCTGCCCCCTGCCTTCATGCTTCTTTTTGCCTTCTGCTTTGCAAGGTGATTCACGGCGGTTAATCTTGGCAAAAATGCACCCTTGAACTCTTCCCGAGAGTATGCATCAGTAGTAACAGCAAGCAAAACCACCAACGGCACTAACGTTGGCAAAGACACGAAGTCAAAGTCTTAGTAAGCTTTCTCATTGTCATTGCCGCGCCCATCGTCATCTGCAGCTTCATGCTTTTCAACATCATCAGCAATGTCAACTCCAAACTGGCACGATTTCGGGCACATGCATACGTGCCTGCCACGCACGGAATAATACAGCAGACATACAATGAAGCTAGCAAGCTAAGTCGCACAAAACAAGCCAGCTAGCAAGCGAGCGAGCAAACGAGCACGCAAGCAAACCAGCCGGTTAGCCAGCAAGCAGGAAGGCGAGCAAGCATCCATACACAAATGCATACACACACACACAGAGAGACTTTCATTCATTCATTCATTCATTCATTCATTTGATTCGTTGCATCCGCAGGTTGGGTGAACAGTAATAGCCGACACTGCACGAAACTCCACACCCTCAAACCTATGAGCCTGGTCAAAGCGCAAATCCGTAAACCCGAGACCCCAAGCATGCATGCAGGCTCGGGCAAAGACTTTCAGGCCCTTGACCGCTCGGTCAAAACCTGGCACTACCTTGGACCGGGAGGGGGAGGGGCTGGGCTTCGCTGCGGGCTTGAGTTGGGCTTTAGGAGCCTTTTGTCGAAAGGCTTTCTGCCTCAGTGGGCTTGGCGTGCGTGTCACTTGGTTCCGGATTCGCGGGCTGTCGTAAACGAGGCTTGGCACGACATATACACCCTGACCCAAGACGTGAAATGTCTGCAAGCATGCATGCAATGGGGGGCTTGCTTTGACCATTCTGTTGCTGCGTCTGTTTCCGTCGCATCCCAAACCCGAAGCTCGGAGCCACGAGTCGAAAGCTCGCTGGCGCAAGTCTCCGATGATTGCACACTTGACGAACCATTGCTGCCGTGCACTGAACCTCTTTGGGCCGATCCCAAAACCCTGCAATCCAATGAATGACGGAATTTTCGGCCGCAACCTGGAACCAAATCCTTTGGAGCAGGTCACTGAGCGAAGCTACTAGGATTGGGTTGGGCTTCGGGTGAACCCGGGAAACCCGTCAGTTTCCTGCGTTCGTGCCTGCCCCGCTCCGACGATGAAGCATAGGGGTTCCTTGCCTACAGCTGCAGGTTAGCTGCATCAGGGTTCTGTTTACGATTCCTGTTCCGCCCAAACTTCCGACAAGGACCCATCTCCTTAATCGGAATGCCTGTTGGATCCTGAAAAATTGGAACAATCCTTCAGCCTTACGTTGTAATTGTACATACCCACCCTGTAGAAAGATACGTGACCAAAGCTCCAGTATAGACTAGATCATCTTAGCGGACTCTTCCAACGATGTGAACAGCATGCAATGTTGCAAGAGTCTCTGAACGTGCGAGATTCAAAATATGTTACTTTTACGCAATCGGACGCCTCTCTGAGATGTGAGACCTCGCAAGAGTAAACTTCTAACTTCTCACACTACATTGCAAGCACGAGTTGCAATCGAGGTAGTAGTTTTGGTACCTGCAATGTCATCTCTACACTACAATGTGTAACAGCGTAATAACTACCTTATGAAGTTATTGTTTCAATATTGTCAGTAGTAGCAGCAGCACTGGCAGCAGCAGTAGTAGTAGTGGTGGTGGTGGTGGTGAGAGTCGTAGGAATGGCAGGAGTGGCGCAGTGGTGGTGGAGGTGCTAATGTTAGTAGCAGTCGTAGCAGCAGCAGTGGAGGAGGAGTAGTAGTAGTAGTGGAGTAGGAGTCGGAATAGGGGTGGAAGGAGTAGCAAAATTACTAGGAGTAGGAGTGGACAATCGCAGCGGTAGCAGCAAACATGGCAGTAGCACAGAGCAGGAGCAGCAGAAGGCAGCAGCAGCAGAAGGCAGCAGCAGCAGCAGCAGCAGCAGCAGCTTTTGTTGGAGTGGTGGTGCTGTCGCGCACCTTCCGACGAGTCAAAGACGCTGTTGTCCTGTGCAGGAACGTGCATCATAACTGTCCCCTGAGCTGGGACAGGCAAAACCTTGAATTCCGAAAATTGGCGTCGAGCTCGTCCCTAACCTGCGCTGCACTCATGCATCCATATAGTCCTCTGTCAGCCTCCCCTCGTACTTCACGTATACCTGGCTGGGGGCTTGCGGCTCCTACGCTGGCGAGCTTCGAGATTCACAGACGGAGTGTCTGACAACTTCTCCAATTTCAGCATTGTCCAAAACACAAGTTTCTTGCATATGTTCTGCTCAAAAGCAGATGTGAACTTCTGCGAAGCATTCAAATTGAAGAACATTGAAACGCACAGCAAAACATGAAGTTCGAGAACGCACACACATACACACACTCACCATCGACAGGTCAACGAAGTTCCAACACAGCCACCGCACCACTGATCATCTTGAAACAACACCCCAAAATCCTAAACCCAACACATAGATCCAAGAGCCACCTCGTCACCATCGGTAGCTTCGCGAGCGGCCGCCATGCCGACTGCGCCTGGAACTCCACTTGCTGGGATGATAGGGAACTCGGAACTTCAGCAGCCTTGAGAATAACAAACAAACACAAAGACGCTGGAGCACCGCAAGACAACCCGATTCACCGACAAGCATGTGCGCAGAAAAACCAAGTATGAGCCGACGAAGCTAGCAGCAACTCAAAGGTACAAAGTTGAGAAACCGTGGTAATGGTAATCAGATCATAGCGACAAACGAATACATAAGCCAGGCAAAGATCACGTTGCATTTTCTGAGCCCATTGCGGTGGAAGAGCCAAAACACGAAGAGAAACCAGAGTTCGAATACAATGCCACATATATATATATATATATATCTTTGTCATCTTGCTCACAAAAACCCAACAGAACCAACACATCAATTACCGGACGAAGTACAACACAGCAACGCGCCAGCTGAACAATTCTGAGTGCGACCTCACCCCAAACCACAGCACAAGAAGCAAGTTATGCAACGTAGCAGCCTGATTTCGTACGGAGACGCAGCGCGAACAAGTTCAAGGTTCCATACATTCCAAAGAACTGAAAGGTGCACTCAAACAAATAAACAATTCAAGGCAATGTGTTCTGTACTGGATTGCTTTGTAAATCCGCGAGACCCTTCCCGTACTGTTCAAACCGGGATTGAGGCTCAAACATGAACCACTTCACTACATCCCCAAACCCCCAAGTCAAGACCGCGGCCCAAACGAGCACTGACTTTCCGCGAGCCGGGTACCAAAGCCTCAGGCTTTCAGGGCCAGGCGCAAGTACGTCAAATACTCGGAGAGAGTTCGGTCAAGCACTGGTGAATGGAGTTGTTGGAGCAGCTAGAGATGCGCAGGCTTCGGACTAATTACACGGCCTTACATGCCACGACAAAGCTTTTTCTCGCGCACGCCTGGGCATGTCAGTGCTCCGCCCTGTTTGTCTACGAACCAAAGAATGTGTGTCCACTGACTGCGCGGGCTATCAGTACCCGTGCAAGCCAACAGCCCATGAAGCCGACGTGCCCCGTCACTTGACGTGATGGAAGATCTCATGCGCGATGCAATGGTCTTGGCACATCGTCAGCTCCTCAAACTGCCCCTTGCAGTCGCCCTTGCCGTCGGTACGCATGGAGATTCGCTGGACGCAGGCATTGTACTCCTGCAACCAATCGGCGCAGCTCGAGAGGCATCGAGGCTTGATCTCATCCAAAGGGTCCTTGTGCTCTTCGCCTGGTTTCAGGTGGGGCGCATGGTACTTTGGGAAATGCAAGAAGAACTGCGGGCTGTAGGAGAAGCTCATGGCAACGAGGTCGGGAGAAGCTGCACGGGAAGGAGGGCTTCGAGCCAAGCAGCTGCCCCGCGAAACATCGCAATATGGGGTATTGCTACATACTAGCATCTCATCTTAACACGTACAAGGTGACAAAGCTACCTTCCTATTGGCCATATGCACTTTCTAGCTCATCGTACTAGTAGTTTGTGGCAGCCTTTCATGCTGACGTCTTACTGTGGTTGACCATACTACATTGCTTTTGGTGGCTGTCGTGTGATGGAAAATCATGCTCAATACTCTTTGACTCGGAGGGTGGCAGGCTGGGGTTGTCAGAGTTCAAGGTTCGCCAAGCTTCCACGACAAGAGTGGCTTATGACTGTTACGGAAGTATCAAAGCCCGGAAATGTTCTGTGCGAGTGTTGTCGGCATTGCCTCTGTTGAAAACATGGGATCCTGATATAAAACCGGGTAGGGCAAAACCGTGGAGCAGCGAGGCTTGCGCCATTGCGCCGACGGCTGCCACGATGCCACAGCTGGCAGGTGGCCTCCCAGGCTTCGATGGGCGGATCAGTATTTTTCCGGGAGGACATCTGCGGCAGCCTAGGGCAAAATTTGGCGAGAATGCCCGGACCGTAAGGCTCTCGGTCCGGGCAGGACCGAGCCCGAGCTAGGCATCTAGACCACAACATTCAGACCAAGAGCCCAACACTGACTCAACACCGACTCTGCACTCTCAACCACAGGCTGCTGACTATCAGACTATGACGAAGGCGCACCCCCGGGAGCGGCTTGCAGACGCCGGTGTCCGAAAGCACCCGGCAACCTGGCCGATGAGCAGCATATAGTAACTGCACTACTACTACGACGACGACTACTACTACTGCTACTACTACTACTACTACTACTACTACTACTACTACTATCACTTACTGCAACTACAACTACAACAACAACTACTACTACTGCTACTACTACTACTACTACTACTAGTACTAGTACTGCTACTGCTACTGCTACTGCTACTGTTACTGCTACTGCAACTGCTACTGCTACTGCTACTGAAACTGCTACTGCTACTGCTACTTCTACTGCTACTAGTACTAGTACTTCTGCTACTACTTCTACTACTAC